TCTCATCATGGATGTTTCCGTCTCCCGCTCCCTCTCCCTTCCTCGCTGAGGTCAGTAAATGATATATTTATTTAAAAGTTTTTTTTCTCTAGCTTGTGCTCCAAAAGCAGCAGCCCAGAGGATGGTCTGTTTCTTTATATCGGACACTCCTCCGGCTTTTGAATTACGTGGTTATCTTCCTGTATTTCTTCCACGTAAAATCATTCTTTTATTTTTGTGCCTTTTCCCCCGTTTTAAAAAGTTTTCACTGTCTCTCAGCTCAGCCCCCGTTTCTGTTTTGTTTTTTACTTTTCTCCCTCTCCATAAAATGTCATTTCCATCTCTGTCCCTTTTCATTCTTTTTCGGTTCTTCCTTCCTGGGCTGACAGTCGCTCCCAGCCCTTTCCTATTGTGCTGTCACCGCCGCGCCAGCGTCCCCCGAATGCCTCCTGTCGGGTGTAATCACGGCGGGCGAGCGCTCCTCCCTGAACACGCTCTGAATTGCCTGTCTCATTGTGCTCGGTGGAGGCCTAGTAATTTCCAATAAAGCCTTTCACACCGGCGCTCCACTGAAAATGACCGGCTTCTCTGCGGAGGAGGAGTCCAGAATAGACCTGCAGCAGGAAACGGCGGTCGGGGAGGGCCCTCGCCCACCACCCCGCGCTCAGCACCACGAGGCCCCCTCGGAACCCGGAGCCCCGGGCAGCGGCCGCAGAGGGGCGCCTGCTTGGCAGCCCACGTGACGTGGGAAGCTGTGACTATTTCCGACCCCAGCTCTGTTTTCCCCTCTTAAAATAGCCTCGCCCTGACAGCCGCACTTCGCCTCGTGCCCAAGTCGAGGAACGAGGCATCTTGCGTCATCTCGTGAACCAAAAATAGGGGCTTGGGAGCCAGTTTCTGTTTTTGGTGAAATGCTTGGCCTTCTTTTCTAAGAATTGGGGGTGGAGTGTCCTCATCCTGTGAGTTTCACCCTTGAAAACCACGGTGGTGACTAAGAGGAGTTGCAGGTACAAATGTAACGACACCCTCTCTGGGGTTCATGCCAGCATTTCCTACGTTTTAGAAAAATCCTAATACTCTCCAGGATCTATTCCATCACCCGGGACTTGGCCTGAGCATCCGTGACTATCCGCTCCCGTGAAAAGCAACCATTTACGACGGAAGCAGGAGAAAACCCGTCTTCAGAGTCAGCACCCTCCCCGCTCCCCCGCGAGGGGTGGCCAGTGAACGCACAATGTCAAGAATGCCCCCGGCGGATTAAGGGTTTCACAGCAGAAAATGGAGTTGTGCGTGGAGATGGGAGCCCCAGAGCCCAGAGCCCTTCGAGCCAGGCCGGCCATTCAGTCGCACAAGTTGAAGCGATTTCCTCACCGAGATAAACTACATGGGGATCTCACTGAACCTGGGTTCTCTCTGGCTCAGACTGTTCCTCGAGGTTTTCACGTTGGAAAAGGGAGTGCCCCTCCCTCCCCAGAGCCTGTCCTAAAGGCGGGTGGAAATCTCCTCCATGCAGGGCCCTTTCACCGAGGCTGGGTGGAGGGTGTGTGTATAGAAAACCTGACAGAAAACACAACCAGGAAACCTCAGGAGCTGGATAAGATATTTATTCAAGACATATATGCTTTTGCCTGGCCAGTGTGGCTCAGTGGTTGAGCATCGACCGATGAACCAGGGGGTCACAGTTCGATTCCCGGTCAGGGCACAGGCCCGGGTTTCGGGCTCCATCCCCAGTGGGGGGTGTGCAGGAGGCAGCCGGTCCATGATTCTCTCTCATCATCAATGTTTCTGTCTCTCTCTGCCCTTCCCCCTTCCTCTCTGACATCAATAAAAATATATTTTTTTAAAAAGACTTGCTTTAAACACAATGGCTTTGATATGTGTCTAAAGCATCTCATCCGTCATTTAGGGCCAGAACACGTTAGGCAGGGAATGGGCAGCCCTCAGGCTCTGGGCAGCTGAGGGGTGAGGGAGTTTGCAGAAAAGTGAAGTCCGGAGAGAGAGCGGCAGGTGAGGGTATCGTTTTCCTTGAAGTGGAAACACGCAGGCGCCTGGAGGAAGCATGGCAAGGAGAGGCGCTCCCCCTGGAAATGGGGCTGGGCCCCGGGAGGACCGAGAAGATCCGCCAGCCGGTGAAGAGATGGGCAGGATGCCCGCGGCTTGGACACCTGAGCAGGAAGGAGGCGGGTGGGCGGTGGGCGGTGCTGGGAGGAGCAAGTGTGTCCTCCGTGGGAAGCACTTCGCCGCCGCTTTCTTCCCCGAAATCGTTTTCCACTCCGGGCTTATTTTCATTTTGTCTTTCCAAGCGCTGAAATGCAACTCTTATCAGAATAGCTCTTTTCTCAGCAAAAACAGCAGATGGTTTCTGTAGGCCGTGGCTGTGTGAAACGTATTTTAAGTCCCTTGGGTGACTCAGTAGTAAGGAAGGCCCTGGGTGGGGTCATTCTACTAAGGCCGTGGTCGGCAAACTGCGGCTCGAGAGCCACATGCAGCTCTTTGGCCCCTTGAGTGTGGCTCTTCCTAAGCCTTAGGAGTACCCTAATTAAGTTAATAACGATGTACCTACCTATATAGTTTAAGTTTAGAAAATTTGGCTCTCAAAAGAAATTTCAATCGTTGTACTGTTGATGTTTGGCTCTGTTGACTGATGAGTTTGCCGACCACTGTCCTAAGGAAAGGCAACGACTGGCCAGCGGGTGAGGGGTCGGTGCCCGGGGAATGCCAGGTGTGGGGCTCAGCGGTGCCCAGGGAATGCCAGGTGTGGGGCTTGGCAGCCTGTGTTCTCAGTGGACTTACCTTTCACACCCGTCCCAGCAGGAGGGTTGGGGCAGCTGCAAGTGCCCCCCCGTGGGCCGTGTTAGGGGTGAATGTGTGCATCCCCCCAGCTCACCCCGATTCAGATGTTGCAGCCCCAGCCACCAGGTGATGGTGTCAGGAGGTCGGGCCTTTGGGAGGGACTCTGTCTAGACAGGGTCATGACTAGGACGGGCCCCTGAAGGATCAGTGCTGATCCAGGAGGAAGAGAGCGAGCTCAGGGCCACGGTGCGCCCAGCGAGGAGGCAGCTGTCTGCACGGCGGGAGGAGCGTCCTCACTGAGAACCCAATCGCCCGCACCTTGGTCTCGGATTCCAGCTCCAGAACCGTGAGCAAGGAATTGTGCTGTGGGGAAGCCGCCGTCTGTGGTGTTTTTTATAGCAGCTCAAACTCAGTCATCGTGAGCAGGAACTGAGGATAAGACCAAGTTGGGCCCAGTCTACCCGCTCTGTGCCCTTATGCGTTCGACCCTCAACTTCCTTATCTGCAAAATGGGTATAATCAAGAGGCCCACCTGGCCAGGTGCAGGACTTACACGAGAGAATGGACCTCGCGGATGCAGGAGATCACTCGCCCCGAGGATCCGTGCTCCGTCTGAGGCCATGGTGGGCGGAGGAGTAGGCGATTGGTGCCTGAGGACCCTGGATTTGGAATGGTGGGGCCCTTCCTGATTCTAAGCCAACAGCCTTCTGTTCTATTCATGAAACATATTTTTGATATTTATTTTATATATTTAAATGCCATTTAACAAAGAAAAGTCAACCAAAAAAATTGAGTTCGAGTGTCACCTCTGACACGCATGTCATAGGTTCACATCACTGGTCTAGTCTTTCTGACCATTGAGACAGAGCGTTTATGAAACGGGACGATTGGGGAAAGCAGCAAAATCAGGCTCGTCACAGCCTGTCCTCGCCTGCGGTCCCCCTCCCTGGCTCCTCGGCTGACCACGCAGATGGGCTGGTGGCCACGCAGGTCAGCAGGACGGTGGGCAGAGGCCGCAGGGTGCTCAGCGGATGCCGGTCACGGCCAGAGGACACGAACCTCTGGAACTGCTGGTCTTTTCCGACATTCCTCTCGTCGTATTTTGACTTAAGCTGATTTCCAACTTGTGTTCCCAGGAACGGGTGTGTCACTGTGTTACGCTCTGACCGCACGATTCAGGTTTGGGTTTCTCTCTCCCTGTTCCTCGCAGATGTGGGAGGAGGCCATCGCTCTGGGCAAGGAGCTGGCCGAACAGTACGAAAACGAAATGTTCGATTATGAGCAGCTCAGCAAACTGCTGGTAGGTCCTTCCTTCTTCCTGCATAAAGGGTCCCGGACCACCTGGACGTACTTTCCTGGCATTTCCCTCTCCCTTTCCACGTGGGGATTCTCCCGTGGCCTCGGGCAGCGTCCCACCCCTGTCCCTGTGTCCGGCTGCTCCTGGCCCTCAGGTACCAAGCTCTCGGGCTCCCATGGAGGGTTTACATATGAACAGTGCTGACCCCGGGCGCACAGGAGCCCGACGGGGCGGGTGGAGAGCAGCCCAGACCTTTCTCTTGCCACCGAAGCTGTCAGTTCCTCCCTCCTGCCTTCTCTAACCACGGCACCCACTGAATTCTGCCCTGTTAAATCCTTCTTTCATGTGTCCCAGTATCTGATCAACACCATTTTTAAAATCCTAAAGACCAGCCCAGCCAGCATGGCTCAGTGGTTGAGCATCAACCTATGAACCAGGAGGTCAGGGTTGGATTCCCGGTCAGGGCACAGGCCCGGGTTGTGGGCTCCATCCCCAGTTGGGGCAAGCAGGAGGCAGCCGATCTGTGATTCTCTATCATCATTGATGTTTATATCTCTTTCTCCCTTCTCCCTTCCTCTCTGAAATAAAAATATATGTATATTTTTAAAAAATACTAAAGACCAGCCGTTTAATCAAAAGAGAAACACCTGTTATGTGGTTGTTGAGAACACCTGTGAGTCGCGGCCGGTTGCTGAATGTGGGGTTTGGGTCAGATTCCCCTGGGAATGCGGACGCTCAGTGAGAAAGGCCGTCAGCCCTCAGCCGGGGTGGTGAGCTCAACTCGGGGGCGGCTTCATGGCCCTCACCCGCCCTCCTGGCACTGCCAGGGCCCGAGGAGCCCGCTGCGGGCATCCGGAACAGACCCCCACATGCTCTGATCAGACCCAAAACGCAGTTTCTGCTTCCTTTCAGAAAAAACAAGCTCAGTTCTACGAAAACATCGTCAAGGTGATCAGACCCAAGCCGGACTACTTCGCTGTCGGCTACTACGGACAGGGATTCCCCACGTTCCTGAGGGTGAGGTCGATGTTCTGCTCTAGAGCCCTTTCCACACGGAGGGCGGGCGTGGGCTGCGCATCCGGGGGTCAGCGTCCGCCCGGGGCATCCCCCCACCGGAAGGACATGTGCAAAGTGTGAACTGCAGTCGTCCTGCGGGGTGTGGCGATGTAGTCACCCGCCTCCCAGGTCACCTGCCGGGGCATCTGGCAATGACATGAGCAGTTGTTACAGAAACGGGCGACTGCAGGCAGGTCTGGGCGACTGCCTCTGGAACTGATGTTTTCTGCAGGAATTTATCTCATTTTTGTAACCCGATTCGTATTTATGTTCCTGGCGAGGAACGACTAACTTGATCTGTAATGTCCCCGTGTTCATGTGTGAAGGGCCCACGACAGAATGCAAAATAAGTGGCATTTCTAGAAAATGTTATCAATGTTTTCACCTAAAACTCACCACTGTTTTTCTGTTAGAGCCTTGATAAGTTTTTTTATTATTAAGTCTTCCTTCTGGTGCGAAGCCTGATAAATCCCCGCTCATTTCATAGGACCTGTTACACGTTAAAGCTCCCGAGCTTCTGAGGTGTGTGGCTTTATCCAGCCTTTCGAGATGTCCACGCACGTACTTACATTTCCGATGAAGACTGCATATTCCTTTGGTTTCTGCGTGACATTTTGTTTTCAGAGAGAGCGTTTTTCGTCTATAACGGGTCCTTTATGACAGACCTCAGCACAAAGTGAATAAAATGTTCGATTCTTAAACTGCTCCTCCTTTAATAATCTACAGGAGCAGCGGATAAGTTGAGACTAGGGAAGGAGATAAAGCGCATACCAGGAGATCTCTCTTTGTCTTTTGAAAATTCACTAATTAGACCCATTTTAATGTGACCTGGAGCCGAGCCTCAGGGAGCTACATGTAAAAACGTGCAGTGGGCTGCTGCTCTCGGTCCGTCCGCCTGTCTCTCCCCTCCTCCTCTCTGCCATCTGTTCAGGGTCACGGCCAATGGCAGGGCTGCAGCTGACGTGGGACCAGCCGCCTGGAGCCCCTTGCCCAGACCCCCCCAAGCTGAACCAGCAAGAGATGCCACGTGACTGAGGCCCCGGGCCTCTCTCGCTGCCTTCGTCTGGGCGCAGTCTCCTCTGGGTTCACAGCTCTGAGATGGGGCAGGAGGGGTGGGGGGAGGCAGTAGGCCAGGGCCCAATGGTGGCATCACACTGTCTGCCCACTGCCACCTTCGTGTGACTGACACTCGGCCGCGAAGGCCCTGAGCCCCAGTACATCTTGGAGTCAGGACCTTCCTTACAGGTACATTGACAGAGTGGCTGTGTCACACGCAGGCAGAAGTGGCCCCAACAAGGCAGCCTGTGTAAGGCAAGACGCAGACCTGCTTACACCCCCCCCAAGGTCACACAGACCTGCTTACACCTCCCCAAGGTCACACAGACCTGCTTGCACCCCCCCAAGGTCACACAGACCTGCTTACACCCCCCCAAGGTCACACAGACCTGCTTACACCCCCCCAAGGTCACACAGACCTGCTTGCACCCCCAAGGTCATGCAGACCTTACACCCCCAAGGTCACACAGACCTGCTTACACCTCCCCAAGGTCACACAGACCTGCTTACACCCCCCAAGGTCACGCAGACCTGCTTGCACCCCCAAGGTCATGCAGACCTTACACCCCCAAGGTCACACAGACCTTATACCCCAAGGTCACACAGACCTGCTTACACCCCCCAAGGTCACGCAGACCTGCTTGCACCCCCAAGGTCACACAGACCTGCTTACACCCCCCAAGGTCACACAGACCTGCTTGCACCCCCCAGGTGACACAGACCTGCTTGCTCCCCCCCAAGGTCACACAGAACTGCTTGCAGCCCCAAGGTCACATAGACCTTATAGCTCCAAGGTCACAGAACTCCTTATCACCTCCCCTGGTCAGAGGGCGTTATACCTCCAAGACATACAGAACTGCTTACACATCTCGCAAGGTCACACAGACCTGCTTGCACCCCCCAAGGAGAGGCAGGACCTGCTTTACACCCCCTCCCCCAAGGGCACCAGGAATGTAACTTTGTGTCTCATATA